ACGCTCTTCAAGGAGAGGCAGAAGAACAAGAGGATCAAGGCCGATTTGGCTGAGGAGGAGAAGCAGGAAAGGGAGATTCGGAAGCAGATCGAGAGGGCCGAGCAGCTATTGCCTCCGGAGCAGAATCGAGAGTCTGAGGTTGAGGACTCCGCCGCGAGGGAATTGAAGTTAGAGAGCGGAGTTAAGGTCGGTTTCGCGCTGGGAAATTCGGCGAAATTGGCGTCCAAGGAGAAGACGGAGGCGGCGAAATTGGTGTTTGAGGAGCCGGAGAGTGATAGAGGGATGAAGAGGAAAGCCGATGGGGGCGGTAGTAAATCGGCATTGGAGGAATTGATGAGAGAAGAGGAGAAGAAGAAGGAGAAGATTAACAGGAAGGATTATTGGCTTTGTGAGGGAATAGTTGTGAAGGTTATGAGCAAGGCTTTGGCGGAGAAAGGTTACTACAAGCAAAAGGGAGTGGTGAGGAAGGTGATTGAGAAATATGTAGGGGAAATTGAAATGTTGGATAGCAAGCATGTGTTGAGGATTGATCAGCAGGAGCTGGAGACTGTGATTCCGCAGATTGGGAGCCTTGTTAGGATTGTGAACGGCGCGTACCGCGGGTCGAATGCGAGGCTGTTGGCGGTGGATACCGATAAGTTTTGCGCCAAAGTGCAGATAGAGAAGGGTGTTTATGACGGTAGAGTGCTTAAAGCTGTTGAGTATGAGGATATCTGTAAAATTGTCCAATGAGTTTGATTGATGATACACGAGTTTGTCTTTTTGTTTTATCAGAAACTTGAAATTGTATCTTGTTTCCAAAGTCAATTCCTTGGCAAGCTTATTGAATAGAAAAGAATGATGAAGCATTATGAACTTTGTGTTTATCCGGTTATTTGTTGTTATTTTTGCATGATAGGCATTATGTATGTCTGTAACATATTGAAAGATAGCTTTTTGTTATTTTTGTGGCTTTGTTGTATAGTTTTGGACTAAGAATTCATGCTCAGGGTTGTTTTTTTTTTTTTTTTTTTTTTTTTTTTTTTAATTCTGAATATACTAATTTCTATAGATAAGGGGGACAATCATGGTTGGAAGAGGTTCTGTAGTTTTAGTTATGTGTTTGCATAATAAGGTGTTAAAAGCTGCTGCTTGGTAGGCTAATGTTATTCCGAGTCAAAGAACTTTTTGTCTTTCCTATTCAATTCAAGTTTTAGTTATCAGACAAAGTGAAGTTGATTCACATTTTTCAAGCCCAAGGTTCAGAGATTTTTTGGATTGTTAAGGCACGCGGTTTCTTTATGAAGATTAAAAAATAAATTCTTAGAACAAAATTAGTTATATATCGTAATTCTTAATAGTGATGTTTTTGAAACTATTACCTGAAAGTTGAAAAAACTGCATTTGACATCTAAAAGTAGCTTTGTTTGAAGTTGGGTTTGGAAACGTTGTTGCCATTTTAAGAACAAAAGGACATTTGCAAAGCTCAAACAACTTTTCATTGACATGTTCAAGTAAAAAAATTCGATCAAATAGGAATGTTAGCTTTTGGGAGAGGACTCGTGTGTAGAATTAAACATGATTTTGACGACATAATGTGGTTTTTGCCTGAAGTTTAAACTTTAGGGGTTTTGGAGCTTTTGCTCTCTAAACTTTTGTGAATTGACTAATTATCGTTAAACTTTGGCAAATTACCCGCAAATTTATGTGTTGTGGAGTGCTTCAAAATAAATGATTGGTATTAAAATAATGCAAACCAAAACATGGATCCATGTCTTTTTTTTTTTTAATTTTGTTTTGGGAATCAAAGATCTGTCATTCATTAATTAGAATATCCAGTATAAGTACAGATTCAAGGAAGGATATTCTTCCAACCAAACTAATTCATCATCTATGTTAAGAGCACAAGAAGCCAGAGCATGAGCCACTTTATTAACAGCTGAGCGTGTCACATTGCAAACATTTCAGTCCAAATTTTTACAGCCTTTAAATGTCATATGATTTGATTCACTAATTCATTTTCAAACATTTTGTGATGATCGGATGGTTATTCTGTATGTACATTAAAATAATGAAGCATGAACAAGCAATAAAACTCCTCCATGTGTCTCTCTCTTAGCAAAAAAACCTCACTAGTCCTCGAAGTAACAGATCTATATGATAACAACGTCATTTCTGCCTAATATATATATATATATATATATAAAAAAAACTTACTTGGATCATAAACTCGTTATTTATTGCTTTTTACAGATTACATTAAGAACAACACTTCCACGGGTACAAAAGTACACTAGCAGACAACCAGAAGTAACAATCAAAATATGAGGTTTTCTTCTCAATTGCTAGATAGACTCTTTTTCTTTATTAAAAAAAAAAATCGCTTTCCTAAAGATTGAACCTATGAATTTGAAAAACTGATAAGGGGAGCACTTGGCCCGACTGAAATGTCTCCGTAGAGAATGATTGATACCGCACGAATACTGACTGCTGTTGTTGACGGCAAATATCATTCTAGAAAGAAGTGCGTTAGGTCCATTCATTTCGCTGATTCGAATTTATAATTTGGGTTTTGTTACAGTAAAAAGCTCTAAAAAACAGTCACATCTAACTTTTTTACTACAGTAAAAAGCTCTCACACAACATCACATCTCAACTTGAATTAAAAACCCGTTCATTAGTGTGCAAGTCTACTAGCAATGTTTTCCACACTTTTTACTTGGGGAACATAGGCTTCGTTCGGTATTATTTTTCGCTTCCAAAATTAACTTTTACTTATAGTAAAAGTTGATTTTAGTATTTAATAAATCTCCTCAAAGTGTTTTTTAAAATTTTTTTAAAGAATTACAATTAAAATCAAAAGCAGCTTAAAGACAATTTTAGTTTTTAGATTGTGCGGGAATTAATATAGTACAATTAATAAAACTTTCATAATACCCTTAATAAAATTTAAAATTTATAATCTTCTCAATCTAAAATTCAGACTCATAATATAATATAATAATTATTATTTTTTTAATAATATGATATTATAATTATTATTTTATAATAATATTATATATTATATTGTATTGATATAATTATATGTATTATATTAATAATGCCAATCATTCTCAATCAAAATCAACCGATCAATTATTTTCAAAATAATGCCAACTATTCTCAAAATAATGCCAATCATAAAGCGATTCGAATCAAAACAGAATTTGAGAAACAAATCCCAACACCAAGTATGATCATGCAAACTAATTACTTGTACTAAGGGAAAAACGAGTTGATTTCTGCTTGACCTTCTAGCACATTGATCATTCTTTGTTTCCCAGATGGAAGAGGACCTCTAAATCCAAAGTACAATATTACAACTTCTTTATCGATGAATTAGTCAGCCATGGTCACGACAAACATTATATATGAGTTTCTTTTAATTTTTTCCCCTTTAGGATAAGGAAAACGTGATGCTAAGACTAGCTTGTTTCTCATCAATCAGGAATCCAACCACACGTCACATTACACCATTCTGATCTCCCACAGATACTTGAAGATGGGTTAATCGAAAGATTGTGTGTGTTTCTTAAGATCTTGCTAGTAAATTTCATGCCAACATTGGAAAACCGGGTGATTGACATGATTGAATAATGTTTATGTGAATGCAGGAAAGACTTCACAGAATATGCAAATGTGTGCTTTAGAGAGTTTGGCGATAGAGTTACACATTGGACTACTATAAATGAGCCCAATCTGTTTGTATTGGCTGGTTATGACTGGGGAGATCTACCACCTGGACGATGTTCGCATCCATTTGGTGACTGCTCGAAAGGCAACTCCACAACTGAGCCATACATTGCAGCTCATTATATCTTGTTGGCATACGCATCAGCTTATAGATTATATGAGAAAAACTACAAGGTAATCTTTAAGCATTTTCATGTCAAGTGCTTGGACCATGGAAATAGTTTAGTCAATATATCCTGAACCATTGTTTCAACTATATGTGTGGAAAGTCAACTCCCTGCTTGATCCTTTAAGCTTGACAAAAATTCTTATGTTTACTTGCTCAATTTTCGTCGAGTATGATGTTTGATTTGATTGTGAGAATTTAGAAATTTACAACTAAAGGAAAAACATATATAAAAAAATGTTGATCAATTGAGAGAAATATTTGGGCAATGCAGGACAAGCAACACGGATTTATAGGTTTCAATGTCCTTTCCTTTTGGTTTGTCCCTCTAACGGATAGTAGTGAAGATGTATTTGCTGCTAAAAGAGTAAAGGAATTTTTTATTGCTTGGTATGTTACAAATTCTACTGGTCCAAAAGGCAATTTCAACTTAGAATTAACATAATTCTCTCTTTCCTTCTTGAAGTGGGAAATGAAGATTGTCACTTTGTGTTCCCTTTGAGTACTCATTGAGTCTACTTTTTGTTATAGGTTTTTGAATCCCTTGGTATTTGGAGATTACCCGATTTAATGAAGAATGCAGGCCCAAGGATTCCGGCCTTCACCGTCCAAGAATCCGAAAGCATTAGGAGTTCCTTCGACTTTTTAGGACCAAATTATTACTATGGAATGTACTTCAAGAACATATCCAACACCCTTCACTCGGAAAACAGGGACGTTATTGCTGATGTGGGAACACAACTACACTGTATGCCTCTTTTGCTTGAATAGCTTTATAATTGTTAAAAGTTAAAATAGTTTAAGGTTTGTAACTTGAACAACATGACATAATTGTAGGTAAAAACCTCGATCACAGGAAATCTTGCGAGGATGTTAATATTTTTGTTTTCATAAGTTTTAATCTCCTTATCCCAAAATAATAATAATAATAATAATAATAATAAGAGCAATGAAGAATAAGAAATTGACTTTGAAGAAGACAAATATAGGAAATAAATTAGATTGATTGCGATTGTAGCCGTCGGTATTTTTGATCCGATCGCCTGAAAAATTTTCAATTTATTATTGTTATTATAATTTATTTGTTAATTTTGAATTGATTTGTGCTCCGATTTTGTTCGTTTTAACACCGTTTTGAGCTAAATTTTTGATACTACTCAGCTAAAAATACTACAAATAATAAAATAAAATAAAACAAAAATATTCTAAAATAAAACAAAAATCACACTAAATTAAATAAAAAATAAATTAAACAAAACAAAATAGAACTAATTTAAAAACTATGATATAGGTTAAAATTTTTTCACACTATCTTTACTTAAGATTGTTTTTCTGCTATTGTTTTCATTATTTTTTCCTTTTTTCTTTTTTTTTTTTTTTTTTTTTTTTTTTTTTTTTTTTTTTTTTTTTTTTTTTTTTTACTTTTCTCTCTTTTTTTTACCGATTGTATAGCCATTCTTAAAATTAAAGCTCAAATAAAAATACTAAAACTAATTCGAATAAAAATAAAATTAAACTATAATATGTCAAAATAAAATAAAATCACATTGAATTAAATAAAAAATACAACAAACAAAACAAAATAAAACTAAATTTAAAACAATATAAAATAAAAAAAATTTCCTATGTTTTGCTCTAAATCTTTTCCTGCTTTTATCTTCATTTCTATTGTCTTTAAAAAAAATAATAATTTGTATGACTATTATTTTAAATGACTAGTCTATACATACATATAAGAGAGAGTGAGTTTTTGTATGGGGCACCCCGGGCCCCCCGGGGCGCCACCGGTGCACCCCCGGGGCACCCCCGGCACACCGGCGCCACCGGGGCGCCCCCAGGATACCCCTGGGACATCCCCGGGAGACCCCCGGGACGCCCCCAGGACACCACCGAGACACCCCCAGGACACCCCCGAGGCATCCCCAGGACACCCCCCGAACACCACGGGGATGCCCCCGGGACCACCCCAAGACACCCCTGGGACAACCCCGAGACACACCCGCGGCGCGCCCCCGGGACACCCCCGGGGCACCCCCGGGACAACCCCGGGACACCCCCGGGAGACACCTGGGAGACCCCCCGGGGCACCCCCGGGAGACCCCCCAGGGCAACCCTGGGACACTCCCGGGACACCCTCGGGACACCCCTGGGACAACCCCGGGCCAGCCCCGGGAGACACCCAGGACACCCCTGGGAGCCCCACCGGGGCACTCTGCGACACCTCCCCCCCCGGGGCATCCTCGGGACAACCCCGGGACACCCCTGGGAGACCCACCGGGGCACTCCCGGGAGATCCCCAGCACACCCCAGGGAGACCCCCGGGGCACCACTGGGTCACCCCACCCCCCACCCCCGGGGCACGCCCAGGGGACCCTCGGGACACCCCCGGGGCGCCCCTAGGATGCCCCCGGGGGGCATCCCCCCGGGGGACCCTCGGTTGGAGACCCCCGGTGCACCCCCGCGCACCCCCGAGGCGCCCCGGGGCACCCCCGGGAGACCCCCAGGGGACCCTCGGGAGACCCCCGTGGCACTCCCGGGACACCCCCGGGAGTCCCCTAGGAGACACCCTCGGGAGACCCCCAAGGCACCCCCGAGGCACCCTCGGATTATTGAATATATTAGGAATATTATTAAAAATTTTATGATTATTTTTATGATCTTAAATATTGTATATAAGTGTTATATATGATAGGGTAGTATTTAAAGATAATTACTACAATGTGTCCATAGTGAATTTAATTAAAGTTTTAGAATTTTTAATTAAATAGTACTAATATATGTCATTACCATTACAAATAGAACGATATTATTTGCATTGTCAATATGGAGGGATATTGAATGAGTGTACTGTAGATATTGTGATTATGTAGGACTGAGATAGACTCAACTTGAATTTATGGTAATTTTCGTTAAGTACAAAAATTCGAATTGATTCTACGTATTGTCATATATTAGTAACAGAGTCTTATTTATGGATTTGTGTCTTTTGACTTCCTCAGTGCCGATTTTATGATTATTAAATTATATTTCTTGTATCTTAGAGACATGATGAAAAAGGTCGGGAATGTTAATATTACGAGATGAAATCCATTCTTTCTTGAATAATGAAGTAGATAAATAATTTTCTTCAGTATTGATTCGATCTTGATTAGTAAGAGCGCTCAATTCATGATTAAGTTCATGAATTTATTATTCATTGAAGAATCAATAGTACTTAATGATAAAGATCTAATTAGAAAGGATAACAGATTCTACCTAGCTCTAATTATGTATTATTTATGGAGGATTAATCTATATGTCATGACTATATTAAATGGACACTTCAAGTTCTTAGAAGTAATTATATGTCTATAATTTCGAGAGTTTGATTCTAAGTTTATAGTTAAGTAGCTTTTAGAATTAATTAATTAAAGAGCTTAATTAATTACTTATTGGAGCTTAAAATTATAGGTCCACGAGTCTAGTCTGTTATCCTTGTAATATTTGCGAGACAAATGAGTTATTGGATATTAATATCACTCAATATAATTAATTGAGAATTAATTAGATATTAAATAATGTAATTATTTAATAAGTAATTATGGAACACACATGTGTGGTAGGACTAACATATGCACATTCCCATGATTCGCTAAGGCTGAAACTTAAGCCGAAAGAGATACAATGGGATCCACTTCATGAACATCCACGGCTTTCTTGAAGGTCGACCGCTCATTTTAGAACTGATAATTATTAAAGGCTATTTCCTTTAACAAGAGCTAAGCTTCTTTGGCAGTTTTTGATAACAAGGTCCTTCCAGTCGCTGCATCAACTATAGTCCTTATTTGACCATTCAGCCCATTATAAAACAACTGAGTCTCGAATCAGTCTTGATAACCATGCTGAGGACATTAATGGATGAGATCTTTAAACTACTCTCACGCCTCATAAAGAGGCTCAAAATCCAATTATCTGAATTGTGTAATTTCGCTCCTCAGCTGTGAAGTCTTTGAAGGAGGAAAGAACTTAGTGAGGAATTTATGTGCCAAGTCCTCCCATTTGGCCACACTTCCCGGTGGCAAACCTTGAAACCAAGCACGCACCTTGTCCCTAACAGAGAATGGGAACAAGCGCAACTGAATAACATCATCACCCATTCCGTTCATCTTTCTAGTATTATAGATTTCCAAAAACATTAAAAGATGAATGTTAGGGTCTTCTTGCGGTGAATCCCATATTGATTATGTTGCACCATACTAATGAATGCCAACTTCAACTGAAATTTGTTGGCATTGATTGTTTGGCGTCCGATCTCCAAGTAGTTATCATTCACAACGAGCATAAAATAATCCCAAAGGTTCTGTTGTTGATTATTGTTATTGTTGATGTTGCCTTCTTCTGCCATAGCTCGACGTCTAGCTCATCTCTCCCTTCTTAATTCTCGAAGTGTTCTCTCTATTTCCGAATCGAAAGGTAATAATTCCAAGCTTTTAGCCCTTCACATAAATTGCCAAGCAACAATAAACAAAATTAAGCAAATTAAAGTAAAACAAAAACCTAAATTAAGATTAATCAACTTAATCACAATATTATTTTAAAATTTTAAATATTTTTAATCCCGAACAACGGCGCCAAAAACTTGTTGTGTCTCGTATTTTGCAATACTACTCACATGTGCATGAGATCGCACAAGTAATAAATTGAATATATCGACTATCGTCCTCAGAGATTGTAAAAATCAAGCAAAGTACTATGAAAATTTGCAATTTAATTTTATCTAGGCAATTTAAATTGAAATTAATTGCAAGAAATAAAAAGGAAATTAAACTAACTAAACTAAACAAGAGATTTGACAAAATAATAGATAAAGACGCGACTTAATGAAATGAAAATATCAATATGAAATGGTTTTTAGGGTCTTGATTTCACTCTATCCTCCTTATGTTCTTCTGATTGCTTCCAATTTGCAGTTGATGAAAATCTGTCCTTTCATTATAGGCATCAGGGTGATCTGCTTCGGGACGACCTAGCTTTTAGAAATTACAAATTAGTCTCAATCAATTCATTAATCAAGGGCCTCAAAATTAACCTCACTACCTCTCCCGAGCGTTAAATGAGAGAACATATGTAAATACCAAAATTGATTTTCCTATCTAATTTATCTACCTACACATTCATTAAGTGCACCCTATGTGATTATTAAAGTGTCATCGATTCTCCCGAACTCAATAACAACCAAGATTGTATTTCCCAAACTGATAAACGAATCAATCTCTCCTAAACAATAAAATTCATAAATCAAATCAACTAATTCATTTCTCAACATATTAGAAACATTAAGCGTAGAAAAATACAAATGAATTGGAAAGAGACTTCATTAACAATTAATTAAATATTCCAAACATAATATAAATAGAGCTACATCAAGCCCCTAGAATAGAGAATCTAGCCAAACATAGATAAATCCATAACTACAATCATCTTGAAATCATAAATATAAACATGTTCAAGAAAATATCACAAATACAAATTCCAAAATCAAAATCAAAATAAGGCAACAAAGAAGAAAAAACTATAGTAGAGACAGTATTCAAGGCTTGAATATTCAAGAATCCTCTAAGAAAATCAGTGATTAGTGCATGAAAATGCACCCTGAATACTGCTTTTGATTTATATAATATTAAAATATTTAAGCTTTAATTAAACAATTCTATTATTTTTATTCATAATATTTTTAATTAGAAGTTGTCTAGTTTTTGCTTAATTAGTTACAGATAAAAGCAGTGTAAAAAGCCACAAAAGAAAAAGTCATGAAAGCCATATTCTCAGCCGTTTAAGCCCATTGAGCCGCGTCAGCCCGTGAGCCGTTTAAGCCACCGAGCCAACCCACTAAGTCAGCGTAAAAATCCACGCCATTTCTTTCTGCCATCTCGTGCCTCGCGCGTCACCAGCACGCCCCACTTCACAGTGCGCGTCCCGTGCACGCGAGATCTCCAGCGCGTTCCAACCCAAACTCCGCGTGGGTCCCACACCTGCGATGCCAACCTGCTCCTTCCTTCTGCGCGTGCCAGCTGTCCGAGCAGGTCCCAGCTGTCTCCAACCGCCAGCTCCCTTCTTCCACTCCACGCGCGACACGTGGCGGCCTTATTCTTTTCCTCCAATCAAGCTTCGACACGTGTTCCCTTTGAGATGAATCCGAATTTCTTCCCCAAAAATCAGAGAAAAATATCATATTTATTCCCCAAATCAAATATATGATTTCTCCTAATTTATGTGTAATTTTATTTTGTTTCCCTTTCTTTTGTAATTTTCTATTTTTATTGTTTGTTTCCTTATTTGACGGCAACCTCTGAACACTATAAATAGAGGGGTTGGCCTAAGGTTTTAGGAAGCTTTTAATATTCAGTTTTTTGTCGTCTTGCTGTCGTGAGAATGTTTTACAAGCTAGGCTAAAGTTCTCTTGGTGAGGTTAGAGATGAACTTCTGTTGAGCGACCCAATTCGGGGTTTTGATTCCTTATGCTGTAAAGTTCAACATCTGAATGAATTAAATCTCATTTATTTTTCTATTACTTTTCAAAATATTGTGTGCTAATTTTTATATAAGTTCAGTCACGCTTTTCTTATGTAATTATGACACGCATTGTTTTGTTATTCAAATTATTTTACAAATTGTCTTTTACTGCAATATTGTCAAATTGATATATTGTCGATTTTAGATCACTTGTAATGATAATATTTCTGGAGTCAATATAGAGATTTAATTTATTCGATTCTTTTATTTTGTGAATCAAAACTTGAATTGGTGAACGAGACATTAGGGATTCTCGACACCTTACCATTTTCACTACTGAATTTCTCCACACAAATTTCCTCCTTTTTATTTTATTTCCAATAAAATCTCAAAAACTCGTCTTTTCCTTTACTTCACTTGTTATTTATCTTTCTCATAGGCTTTTATTCTGTTAATCTTTCTTGTTTATTTGTTACCTCTCTGTGGATACGACCGCCCTTCTGTGCTACAATTGACCGCTTGTGACTATCACTTTTGGGCGTTAATCAATCAGCCTCTAAGCTTCTCTCTCTCTAAAAAAATGTCCTCTCAATCTTCTTTGGGAATTGTGCCTTTCCTCTTGTGGTCTCCTCTAGGGTTTTGGGCTTAATTGGCTATTTAAAGCACTCCAAATTAGGCAAATCTCGGCCATTCATCCTCATTCTCTTTTTCTTTTTATTTTTTTAACAAGTTGTATAACCGTTATTTTATATGAGTTAATGCGTGATACATACCATTATTTAAAGGAGAATGAGTTTTTTTAGGGGGACCGTGCAAAACGTTTCGCACGTTTCTCCTCCCACATTAAAAAAAAAACACTTCTTTCTTCCCTCTTTTTTTTCCTCTACAATACATTCTTTTTTTTTCTTTCTCTAATGTGACCCTCATGATTTTTTTCTTCTAATTGTCCCATTGAAATAATTTATTCTCATATATGTCCTAATCAAAACTTTTTTTATGAAATGATATTCTCAAATATTTTTTTTACTATATATGCTCAATATTTTTTGTTTGTTTACCTTTTTTCGTTTTTCCCCTCACTTCTTTCTTTGGTCTCTTTTTTTTTTTCCTTTTATAGTACATTCTTTTTTTTCCGTTTCTCAAATGTAACTCTCATAAATATTTTTTTCTCTAATTGTCCCACTAAAATAATTTATTCTCATATATGTCTTAATCAAAATTTTTTTTTACGAAGTGATCTTCTCAAATATTCGTAAAATCTTCTCAAATACTTTTTTTTTTACTATATATGTCTAATGAATAATCTTTAATATCTTGTTTTCAAATGTGTTTTTATAGAAACATTTTATTTGCAATTTTTTTAAATACATTTCTTTTATGTGTATCACTAAATAATTTTTTGCTTCATTCGTCCCATTAAAAACTTATTTTCCTTTTAATGTTGCTCTATTTAATATTTTTTGCTGGATTTAATTTTTAAGAAAGCAATGATAAAAAAATATAAATTATGAAATTTTCAAAAAAATTTAGGACCTTCGTATCGTAAAAAAAGTATTCATATTGTTGAATACGCACGCGCAGAAAGCGCGTTTACAACTAGTATAGAATGAAATAAGAAATTAATTATTTGGGTTAGCAGTAGATTTTTTTTGGCGATAATGTCTATGGACATCAAACGAGGACCATTATAACGTAAACGTGTGAGATGGGCCACTAATACCAGATAGGTCACCCATCGAACGGTCGCTTGTGCTTACTTGTACAGATTCTATTAAGAAGAAACCTGGCCCACCAAAAAAAAAAAAAAAAAGAGGCGATAAATGAATGAAAAAACTATTGAAAGAAAAGAAGGGAGCAAAATGTGGTTCATTAGTCTGGATTGTTAGCTCTCCTACCCCAACCGCAAGCCATTAATTTTCCACTTACTATCTTCCGAACCAATTCCTACTCTGACAAATATCGCATCTTTCAGTGTCAACCGAAGCCAACCCATTTCGGATCTCGCGCCCTTTCCCATTTCTGCTTCTTTTATACTTCGTTTGGTTTATGGATCTTGCATAAATTCGCTCGGCAATATAGGAGGTTTCATCTTTTTGTGAAACTTGGTAATTGGGTTTTTTCTGTTTCTCTCGCTTGCTTAGTTTTCGAAGATGAAGGTGAACGTAGTCTCGCGAAGTGGTAAAGAAATCGTCAAGGGTGGCATTCATCTCAGTGATTCTGTATGTTTTTCTTTTACTTGTCTTGGTTGCTTTGTTGACATACATTTCTTTCTGTTTGGTTCGTGAGAATATGGAGGAAAAAGAGCAAAAATTGGTTCTATTTAATCATTTATCTATTGGGTTTCTTGGAAAATGGTTAAAAATATCAGTATACAAATTGGGGTAGGTTCCATTGAGTAGAAGATTGAGTTTTTACCTTAAAAAAATAAAAAAATAAATAAATAAAAGAAAAGAAAGAAAGAGAGTAGTGAGTAAAGAGTTAGAGTTCTTTTTTTTATTATTTTTTTATAGAATTTTTCGTTGAAGTTATGATTTGCTAAAGTCTTTTGGTCTTTTTGCTTTGCAGGCTACAGTGGCTGATCTGCAGGAGGCCATCAATCAGCGAAGTAAGTTGTGGATATGACCAATTTGTTCAACTTTTAATTCTATCAATAAATTGAACCGGTTTAGAGTCTTAAGCTCTCTTGCTAGCCATAACTTTCAAGCTTAGAAACAATTATATTTTTGGTTTTTAATATGGCTTTGCTTCTTAGGTGCTTACTCTTTTAAACGTGGGGTTTTTAACTTCCAAAAAAGAAATAAGTGGAAAGTATTTTCAGTTCAGATTTTAACTTGATTCCAATTTCAACACATCTTCCATATTGGTATGTGTTGACAACTAGATTTTTCGATTTTATAGAGACGTGTGCGAATTTATATTGATATGTTTGTGTCATGCTTGGTGACAAATACGTTTTTGTTAGTCTGCATGCGTTGCGAACGCTTACGTCAGGAGTTTGAAAACTTTGAAATGAACAAATTCTCTGGTTCTCTTGCAAAACTTAGAACATAAGAGGTTGTTTGGTAGGAGGGAAACGTCGAAGGAGGGAGATAGGTGAGGGAATTAGTGAAATGATTTGGGACTCATGATTGTTTGGTCGGGGAGAAAAGAGGAGGGAATTAATTTGGTGATGGATTTCAAATCCTTCAAAGAACTGTGATTTTCAGTGCTTCGGATATGAAAAGATTAGAGGAGGGAATCCATGCCAAACTCATATGTTTTTCTTTCCATCCTATTTAATTTCCCTCTTACCAAACATAGCCTACGTGTGGCTCGGATGGTTCGGATCATTGATTATGTATCTGTTGGGTTGTCGACGTTACTAGATTTTGAAGTTGTTGTCGAGAGGTATTTTAGGCAGGAAACTAATTAGGAAAAATTAGTTTTAACAATCCCTGATTTTCAGGGTTTGTGGTAGATATTCTTTCCTATTTTCTTTCTATGTAAATTCTATAAATACCTAGCAATGTAATTATTCAATACACGGAAATACAAAGATATTTTTCCAATCCCTAGTTTTCAACATGGTATCAGAGACCTAGGACGATTCTCTAGGGTTTTACGCCGCCAAGTAGCCGCCAAGGAGCCTTCATCGCTGCCGTCGCTGCCAAGTAGCCGCCAAGGATTTTTCATCGCTGCTGTCGCTGCCAAAGGAGCCTTTATTGTTGCCGTCGCTGCCAAGTGCCTTTATTGTTGCCGTCGCTGCCAAGCAGCCTTCATTGCTGCCGGCCATTTCTGCATCATCCTCTCCTTGAAATCCAAATTTTTTTTTCCCTTCATTTAATTATGTCTGATTCCAAGGCCACCAACACTTCCGGGACTACTGAGGAGGCTTCTCCTGCCTAGAAAACCGGAAAACCGGAGACTTGCAGAATATTAGAGCCTCTTATCAACTCAACGGGAGAAACTATCTCAAGTGGTCCCAAGTTGTTCGCACGTACCTCAAAGGAAAGGGAAAAATCAGCCATCTGCTTGGGACTGGACCAGCAAAAACAGACCCTGGATTTGTGGCATGGGATGAGGAGGATTCGATGATTATGTCATGGCTGTGGGATTCAATGGAGCCAGCCATTAGTGATACTTGTATGTTTCTAGCTAGTGCGAAGGGGATATGGGAGTATATCCAACGTACCTACTCGAAGGCACGTGATGCAGCCTAGGTTTATGAGATAAAGATCAAGACAAATGGAATGAAGCAAGGAGACATGGCTGTCACAGAGTATGCCAATTTTCTGCAGATGATGTGGCAGGAATTGGACCACGACCGAGTGTTCGAAATGAAGTGCCCGGATGATGCAGCAATTCTCAAGAAATACATTGAAGGTGACAGGGGGTATGATTTTTTGGCTGGATTAAATTCTGAATTTGATCAAGTTCGGTTACAAATACTCAGTAAGGAGGATGTTCCTTCACTGGAAGAGGCCATCTCAATTATTCGGGGAGAGGAGAGCCGAAGGAATGTGATGCTAGAAAAACCGAGTGGTATGACTAAATCAGAACATCAGGAGAAGAATAAGGATGACCAGCCAAGGAATTTAGGAAGGGAGAACTAGAGAAGGGAAAATAGATATAATCTGTGGTGCACCTATTGCAAGAAGTCGAGGCATACCAAGGAAAATTGCTGGAAGTTGAATGGTAAACCTCCAAGCAGTGAGTGGGGAACACGTGGTAGACAACAGAGGCCCCAGGCTCATCTCACGGAGCAAGCAAAGGCTGAAGAAGGAGCGGACAACCAAGGATTTAAGGGAGAAGAGATAGGGTTCAAAAGGGATGAGATTGAAAAATTAAGGAGTCTATTGAGTTCTCTTGAAAAACCATCCAGAGCTAGTTCCTTAGTTCTCTTAGGTAAGCCAGTGATTTCTTATGGATTGCACGCTTCTGGAAAATTTTTTGATGATTCTTGGATATTAGATTCTGGAGCCACAGACCACATGACACACTCCTCACATTTTTTCCGTACATATACTCCTTGTCCGAGTAATAGGAAGATTATCATGGCAAATGGAGAATTAGCTACAGTGGCAGGTTTAGGAGATGTTAATATTAATCCCTCCGTGGTCTTTAGAAATGTCTTGCATGTGCCGAAGTTATCAGCTAATCTTATTTCTATTCAAAAACTTACAACTGACCTTAAGTGTTGTGCGATATTTTTCTTGTCTCATTGTGTTCTTTAGGATCAGGTCTCGGGGAGGAAGATTGGACTTGCTAAGGAAAGAAGCGGTCTCAATCACCTGGAAATTTTAAAGAAAACCGCCAGTAACTTGCATGTGTCTCTTCTCAGTTCCTCCAATAAAGATGCCATTTGGCTTCACCACTATCGTCTTGGTCACCCGTCCTTTAGAGTCCTACAACTTATGTTTCCACAATTGTTCATAGGAATAGATGTTTCTGAGTTTCATTGCGATGTTTGTGAACTAGCAAAACATACTCGTGTTCCTTTTCCTATCAGTAATAAAAGAAGCGTTTTTCCTTTTTAATTGATCCATGGTGATATTTGGGGTCCATCAACTATTCCTAATGTATCAGGGGCTCGTTGGTTTGTTTCATTAATTGATGATTGCACATGTGTAACCTGGCTGTTTTTACTTAAACAAAAATATGATGTCAGTCATATTATTCCCAGCTTTCACTCCATGATCCAAAACCAATTTGGGGTGAAAATAAAAACCTTTAGGTCAGACAATGCTAGGGATTATTTCAACCAGGTTTTATCACCCTATTTTCAAAAGGAAGGAATTATTCACACTTCTTGTGTGGATACACCCCAACAGAATGGGATAGCTGAGAGGAAAAATGGGCACCTATTAAATGTCACTAGAGCCTTGTTGTTTCATGGGAACATGCCTAAATCCTACTGGGGGGAAAGCCGTCTTAACAGCCACACACATGATAAATAGATTACCTTCCCGTGTACTTGACAACAAGAGTCCTATGGCATTTCTTAATACCCACTACCCTCACTTTAGAACCTCAAATGGCCTTATACCCAAGATATTTGGATGTACAGCCTTTGTACATGTCCACCGCCCAAACAGAGGGAAGTTAGACCCCCGTGCAACCAAATGTATTTTTGTTGGCTATTCATCCACACAAAAGGGGTACAAATGCTATCATCCTCCATTAAGAAAATTCTATATCTGAGCTGATGTTACCTTCTTTGAAAACAAATCTTATTTTTCTAAGTCCCATCTTCAGGGGGAGACAACTAACCGTGAAGATGGTACTTGGTCTAAGTCGTTTGAGTTTTTTGAGCCACTTGATCTTCCATCTACCTCTCATTCCCCTTTAGCCATCACTCCGGTCATTCCATCAAGTCCTTCCCAAGAGCCCGGGTCTTCCAACACAGAAACCGCCGAGTCTTCCAACACAGAAACCGATCCTACTTGTCAACCCGAAGAGCCTGTGTCCAGTCAAGTTACTGAGGTTCATCCAAGATTTTCTCAGGTGTATACGAGAAGGGAAAAGCCCCCAAACCTAACACTAGTCCCAGAGATCAACCCGAGTCCTGAGAATAAAGGCATGGTGAGTACAGATTCACTCCTAGACACTAAAACAGTTGAAGGTTTGGCAGATGACTCTCATTTGCCCATTGCCATTAGGAAAAAATCCCGAGAATGCTCCAAGAGGCCACTTTACCCTCTTTCCCATTATGTCTCACCTAAATGCCTATCATCTTCCCACCAGAGGTTTATGGCTAGCCTAAACACAATCTCCACACCAAACACACTTTCAGAGGCATTATTGAAGGAGGAGTGGAGGAATGCTATGAGAGAGGAATTAGAGACTCTGGAAAAGAATCAAACATAGGAGATAGTTGAGAGACCACAAGGAAAGAACATAGTTGATTGCAAGTGGGTATTTGCATTGAAGTATAAGGCTGATGGAACTCTTGAGAGATATAAAGCAAGGTTAGTTGCGAAAGGGTACACTCAGACTTATGGGGTAGATTATCAGGAGACATTCGCTCCGGTGGCAAAAATGAATACCGTGAGGACTTTAGTGTCATTAGCAGCCCACTTTGACTGGCCATTGCTACAATATGATGTGAAAAAT